TAAAAGATCGTGTTTAATACCATTAATTATATTAAAAAATATTATAAATTATCATTTTAAAAATTTAAACTAATCAAATTGAATTATAGCGGTGTGAGTTACCATTTTTACACAAGTGGGGTCTAATAATTTACAATCTATGTAGAATTTTGGGAAAATAACGTTCTGCCTTTTCTATTGATTTCCACCAGTATATATAGAGTACATAGACTAGGACTATCTACACATGGCCTGATAATAACAAGAATAAGGCCCAAAACAAGTATACACAAAATACAACAAATATGGGTTGGTTAACACTCCCCCTCAAGTTGGCGCGTGAATGTCATGAACGCCCAACTTGGACAGTAAGAACTGATATGCCGGTTTAGACAGTGCTTTAGTGAACAAATTGGCAATCAGAAGACGAGTAGGAACATAGTGTGTAGAGACCTCCCTGCGCTGAACACATTCGCAAACAATGTGACAATCGATATTTATGTGTTTCATGCGCTCGTGAAAGACAGGATTGGCGGCGATGAACAAAGCCGACTCATTGTCACAAAATAGGCGGGGGGTAGGGACGATCGGCACTCCTAGGGCCGTGAGCATGTGACGTAGCCATCGAATCTCAGCGCATGCATTAGCCATTGCACGGTACTCAGCTTCAGCAGAAGAACGAGAGACGGTGGTTTGCTTCTTAGTTTTCCAGGACCCAGGGGAGCCACCCAGAGTAATGAAATAACCACTCACAGAACGTCGAGTAAGAGGGCAACTCGCCCAATCTGAGTCACAGTAGGCCATGATTTGCAGATTGCTATCACATCTCAACAAAATTCCTTGACCTGGGTGCCCTTTAATGTACTTGAGAATGCACATGGCGGCAGCAAGATGATCAACGGTAGGTGCCTGCAAAAATTGAGACAATACATGGACAGAGTATGCCAAATCAGGTTGAGTGATCGTCAAGTAAATGAGGCGACCGACTATGCGCCGGTAGCGAGAAGGATCACGCAAGAGGGCACTCTTCGAACGACCAAGATTATGATTGGGCTGAATCGGCGTGTTGACTGGTTTACATCCCAAGAGGCCGGCCTCAGCTAAAATATCCAAGGCATATTTACGTTGACACAATACCATCCCGGCGAGTAACGCGCACATTCAATTCCAATAAAATAAGTAAGAGGCCCCATATCTTTCAAACGAAAACAATTATGTAAGTATCGCTTGAACGAAGAAAGCAAAGTAAGGTTATTGCCTGCAACAAGAATATCATCAACATATACCAGAATTGCCAAAGTATCCGGGCCACGGCGAAGAAGAAAAAGGGTATGGTCCTTGTGTGCTTGACGAAACCCATACTGACGAAGTGCCATAGTCAATTTTGCGAACCAATTACGAGGAGATTGGCGCAACCCATAAAGTGATTTTCGGAGACGGCACACCTTTCCATGATAAAGGTGAGTGTATCCAGGGGGCACGCGCATATAAACTTCCGCGTTCAAATCACCATGAAGAAAAGCATTATTAACATCAAGTTGGTGTGCAGCCCAATTTCTAGCAACAGCAACAAACAGAAGAATTCGGACAGTACCCATTTTGGCAACAGAAGCAAATGTATCTGTAAAATCAGTGCCCATCTCTTGATGATTTCCGAGAACCACCAATCTAGCCTTATCACGTTCCTTAGAACCATCAGAGCGGAATTTGGTCTTATAGACCCATTGACACCCCAAAGCATGACGACCTTGAGGAAGGTCGGTGATATCTCACGTATGATTAGCTTCCAACGCTGTTATCTCCTGCTGCATTGCAACATGCCATGTTGCGTGTTGTACAGCGTCTCGAAAGGAGGTGGGCACCTCTGTAGAAGTAAAAGCGGCTAGAAAACCACGCTACCTGTCATGCAATTTATCATATTTCACGAAGTTAGTGAGAGGAAACCAAGTTCCAGAGCGCACAGATTTTTCAGGTGTACCAATAATGGAGACATCAGAATGGACAGTGTTACACACATAGTCCGACAAACAAGGAGGGGCATGCCGAACACGCTGAGGCCGCGAAGCAGCCAGGTTGACGGGAGGCGTGACGGACGGGGTGAGGCTGGATTGGGTAGAGGGCTGGGCAGAGGGCTGTTTGGCAAAGGGCTGTTCGACAGTGGTGGAGGGCTATGCAAAGGCTGTAGTATGGTCCGCATGGGTTTGATCTGGGAAATCGGCAAAGGGAATTGTGGCATGGTTTTGGTGATCGGGCTGTGATGGTAGGGAATGATTTGGAGATAGAGCAAATGGAAAAACTATTTCGTCAAAGGAAACATCTCGAGAGTGGAACAAACGGTGAGACTCAAGATCATAAACACGCCACCCTTTAGTACCCGTAGGGTACCCGAGAAAAAAACATTTTGTGCTTCGAGGGGCAAATTTATTTGGTGGACGTTGAGCATGACGAACGTAACACATACACCCGAAGACACGAAGATGGCCAACATCTGAAGGTTTTGAATTCAAAATATCATACGGAGTTTTCCTCCCAAAAATAGGTGTAGATGTTCGATTTATAAGATAGACAGCAGTGCGAACACATTCCCCCAAAAAATTGATAGGTAAAGATGCTTGAAACATGAGGGAGCGAGCCACATTGAGAATATGACGGTGTTTACGTTCGATGCGCCCATTCTGTTGGGGCGTGCCGACACAAGACGTTTGAATGGAAACACCCAACTCAAGATAAAACTGACGTAGGGGTCGATTTAAGAATTCTGTGCCGTTATCAGAACGTACGGTTTTAATTGTTTTACCAAACTGAGTACGAATAAAAGTGAAGAATTGTTTTAAACAACTTGTCACCTCACTTTTATCGATTATCAAATACACCCAAACGGAACGAGAATGATCATCAACTATTGTCAAAAAATAATGAGCCCCAGTAAACATACAAGGCGAATATGGACCCCACAAATCATAGTGAATTAAGTCAAAAATAGCATCAGCTTTATTTAAACTGGAAGGAAACATAGAACAAGTTTGTTTGGAATAAAAAGAAATCTCACATGACTCTAATTTTTAAATTTGAGAAGGTGATCTATTAAACGGAGGAAAAGACAAAACATTATGAGATGAATGACCAAGTCTCTTATGAAGAAGATGTTAGACAATGCGTGCAACTCTAGATGGGGGGTGAATAGAGTTGTTGAGAGTGATTACCGATTTTCGCAGGATTAATAATATAAACGTAAGTGCAGCGGAAATAAAAGAGAGAAGGCAAAGAACACACCGATGTATACTGGTTCACCACCTCGTGGCTAGTCCAGTTCCCTGAGAGACTCTCTCGAAGCTACCACTACTTCCGTTAAGCTTACGGGTGCTTAACAAACCGTTTACAACTCGAGAACTTGAATCCCACAAGCCTCGACACAACCGCTCGTAGATATGCCCTCTACAAGACTTCACAACCAAGACTGAAGTCACATAAGTCTTGAACAACAAGAAGAAAAATCTTCTTCAACCTCTCAGCAATAGCTCTCAAAAGAGTAGAAGTGAGAAATGATTAAAGCTCTATGGATGACAAGAACACTCTCTTGAAAACACTTAGTTTTCTCTCAAAACATATCAATTTGAGGAAGAAATGAATGGAGGATTATAACCTCAAGATTGGGGGAGTTTAGGAGTGCTTGTACATTCTAAAAATGACCAAGGAGTGAGGTTTATAAAGGG